CGAAGTAAACGCATCAGAGCATCATACAAAAGTCAGACGCCACCAGTGTTCAAACACCTTTTTCCAACATCAGGTATTTAACGACAAATATGTTTTAACAAAGAAGCCCAACGACGAAGTCGACACGTGCTCGACAGCGCGGCCCGTTAAGTGTTTCTAGTAACGTGGACCCTCACGAAGAAGGCGTGAAGGTCGTAAGCAATCAGCCCGACTGTAACGGTTTTCATCTCCCATCGCCAAGTCGTAATCTATGCCTAAAACGCTGCGAGTTGAAAAGTGCTTGCTTTGGCAGGCGGTGGATGGGTGTGTAATACAAGTAATGCATGTCCTTGTTCAGCTGGAGGAACGGACCTGAGCAAACCAAAAACTTCCTATCAATGATACCCCAATGATACCAAAACACCCAGGACTCAAAGAATAGTTCTCGAGCCCTCTGGTTAGACCACGGCTTTCCACGCACATATAGGCTCCGTTTGGTATTTAAGGGATCATCCAGCTGAATTATGCTGCAGCCCCGAAGTGACAGCATCCTGCATCCAGAAGTCGCGGTGTTCCTCGTGGGCTCCAGTGATTAATGTGAACGCGCTGGGAAATGGGACATGCCGAGATTTCTGTGTCGCGCAGTCGTAACATCCCCATTCGCAACTGGTGTTTTCTTAAGTGGCCACAATAGTAGCAACACAACAAATCTGGTGGTTCTGAACGCATTCGGGTTTTTAACCGGTAGTTGTGCGCCATGCATTTAACCAGGAAAATTCACCAAAAATCTATATCAGACGAGAGTATTATCTGAATATATATATATATATATATGTATATATATACGCTAGAATGATTAGTTATCGTTGGTTGAACCTCTTCACCGGTAGCAAATAATGGGGACCAAGTTAACTTCATACTTTTCCAGCAATAAGAGGACGCCAGGTATCACTAGATCGCGCCTAAGTCCAGTGCTGCCGAGGAAAAATCATGATCGGTACGAGATTCTACAAGGTGTTCACCATTCTCAACATGCCTCAAATAAACATAACGCTAAGGCTCCCTACATAGGTAGTGAGATCTCCGGTGTCTGGCAATACATCTGAACCTTTCGTCTTCGATAGGAGGTTGAGGGTATGAAACCGCTGCCTCCTTGGATAAGGGCTATGGGACTGGTCACACCAACAGTTACGGGCAGTAGAAGACACGGTGACATTCCTGCAGAAAGGTCATCGGTCTTGATCTGTAGCTGCCAAATTTTCCAATTCATCAGCCAAATAAGAACACTCGAAATTACTTAGCCCATTAGGCTATCACCAACAGTGACTGCCTATCCAACCTTTCATAGTTGCCGCATGTTACTGTTCTCTAGAGATTAAGAATAGGCTACGAAATGAAGAGACTATCAATGTTTTTCTCAACACACCCTCTGTTTTTTGCAAGACAAAACCAATCATTTCAGCAGCAAAATAAAGTAGAAATGGTTCGATAATCAGCTACTGAAGATCCAAGATAATGTACAAGCATCTCTGGCTCACTGTGATATTAGTCTTTGCTTACCTTTTTAACAAACGCCTTCGTGTGCACCTTGGCCTACTTCTTTGTTGTGCTTCCGGATGTTTTGTTTTCATTCCCCTATAGTCTACTTACACGAATAAATAAGTTTGTGGGTGATTCTACGATGAATAGAGTTTGAACAGAACTTGTTTGTACAGGCAAACAGCAGCGAGAAGCATGTCAATACGTCTTTTCTAAATCTAACTTCAAATGATTATCTTTCACGTACGATAAACGGTTATGATTAGCTCGACCGTACATCATGCTGCCGCCCATACAGTAGCGTGAACATGGCTATTCTAATCATCGGTGACTGTTTACCAGCCGTTCAGTATGCCTCACACTGAAGTCTTCTTGGCAGATTTCGGTTCGCGAAATTCCGCAATCCTTAAAATCAGCCGAACTGCATTTCATTCAATTAGGTTTGGGAGGTGGCAGCTCCTGGCTCATTTGTGTACAGAGGATCGTTATCTGATATTGAAACTTCCTGTTTTGCACTCACGCAGTAATGTGTATTGTGCTGACGAAAACTTATCCAGCTGTTGTTGCTGGGTCCTGCCTTCCAGGATAGGGTCCCAGTGACCCTCTCTTAACTTGGCTGGAGTCGTTGCAAATGCAAGTTGTTTCAGTCAGTGGGATTCGTGCCACCAGTTTCTGTAGAGTGTCTACTGAGCACTTTAAAGATAAATTAATAAACATTTTGATTATACGGTAGGGAAAAATCAATCAAAACACCGATGTTACTGTCTAAGGTGATGTTGAGGATGGTGTTGACAATGAATCTAAGTCCATTAAGCCGAAAATGACCTAATATGAGATTCTGCAGGAAAGCGGCTATCCTACGAAAATTGGAATGGTTCCCAGGTGAAGCAAGATGAAAATAGCGAGGATTGCTAGAAGCGAGCCGAAATCTATCTCCACATCGCAATCTGTGATTTCGTGGCAGAAGCTGAGGGCTGTAAGTGGCTTACCGCATCCTACTCTATCATCGACATCTGAACAATCTGTACGTCACACACCGAACTGTGACTAGCTCGACTTACACACTCTTCACATCTACTTCCACTGAGTGATGTGCTGGTATTCGGTTCATGCTTGCCAAGCACACGTTTTTCACGCATTTCACAAACATCCTGGAGTCGTTTTCCATCGATTCCGGAGACGCTGCTCGACTTACACACTCTTCACATCTACTTCCACTGAGTGATGTGCTGGTATTCGGTTCATGCTTGCCAAGCACACGTTTTTCACGCATTTCACAAACATCCTGGAGTCGTTTTCCATCGATTCCCGGAGACGCTAGAGCGCACGTCAAGGCGGTCAGTTAAACCTACTCAGCCAGACAGCCATTATCCACGTCACATTCTTGAATCTTACATTTCAATCACTTCCAAGCTGAATAATACTAACTCATGATGTAAGGCTAAATTCATCCACATTACCAGTCTCGAATATGATACGGTGAACAATATTCACCGGTCAACGTCCCTTTACAAATTTCGAAGAAAAACAGGGAGATCCGCTGTACTACAAATTGCATTCACATCTGCCGCATTGGCGAACAGCTGAAGTACGAAAGGTCGGCAAAGTTAGGGTGATGTAATAAAAAAACCCGGAGGCTAGTGTCACTGCCGAAACACACGTACTGCCAGTAACATTGAATATAATCACAAGCATTTGGAGCGAATATGTATCGTTATTACATCCCAACTCCTGAGTCAGTACTCAAGACTAACCATATCTGGCCGCGCTTGACGCTCCCTGCTTAAATTACTCGCCACCGACTCCACATTACACCAAATTCTTCTGGAGAATACATTACCGTCGGATACATCGACTGTTTTACACTCAAGCTAGGAAGTCTCCTGTGTAAGCAAAGCCGCAACAGTTATCCAGGAGTCTCGAAGAATATTTTGTGTGTGGGATATTCATCTGAGACTGTTCAAAATAAGCCCGTGATAGGAAGTCTCCTGTGTAAGCAAAGCCGCAGTAGTTATCCAGGAGTCTCGAAGAATGTTTTGTGTGGGATATTCATCTGAGACTGTCCGAAATAACCACGTGGCAGAATGGGATCAAGATAATTCCCGCGAAGGTGACCTTGTTCGTATCTCTTTTACCAGGTCGGAAATAAATATAACGAACAGAATCGATCAAAACGGCAATTATCATTCAACCTGGTTAGAGTCGAAAATCAATAGTTAAGAGTGATAACACTGAGATGAGTTCACTGACGGTATCCATATCACATGATCCCACGTGTTGACTGGCTCCTCGAGCAACGACTTCTAAGACGGGAACTCTAATCATCAGGTGAATTTTATTCTTCTTCTGAGCTCCCCATAGACTGCCGACAGTGTGGTATTCGGGAATTTTAATGGAGACTACGTCCTGCATGTGAAACTGATCTGTACTGAGAAGTCGAGAATCATTATACAACTGTCTAATTAGATGAAATAGCTGCACAGAGCTTCTCGGCTTTCCCGCATAAACTGGCTTCACTTACAGAACGAAATCTCCACACTTTATCTCTTGCCTGGCGAGTAGATGGCTGATGAGAACTACATTTAGACATATAGGATAAAAAGTTCTGGTAGACATCTTTTGTAGTCTTCATGCCAGCACTTTACTAACCATACCGCCATGGAAGGGAAGACGGAGGCAGAGCAGCTTGGGTTTGGCCTTCTGTGTAGTTTACTGTATAGTCCACGCATGTTAGGAAGCCCAGTTCCTCAGTCAGATGTTCACTGAGCACATTTTTACTGATCCACCGTACATGCGACCGAACAACGCTGTCCACATCGGTTTCGGAAACCGACATAACCTGACATGATCACAACCGATTTAAATAATGCCTCTAAGAGCAACAGCAAGGTGAAAGTAAAACGGCCTACTGCCTCCCCCATCAATCATCGCAGAATGACTGCATCGATCCTATAGAATAACCCACGCGCTGACTTCACGCGATTTTCTGCACAAACACAAACAGACTGTTGTGATGCGACACCAGTTTATAAAACAACGTAAACAACAACGTCCACACACGTCTTTATTTACCTTGTAATCCAGTCAATTAAAGTATAATCTAGTGGGACTCACCGAAAGTGCCAGCACGAAAAACCAAGTGTCACCGACGAAAGTCTTATAAATGCAAACAGGCTGATATCAAGGTCAGAAAAATTGAAACTCTGTGCCTACGAACCGTAAACCAAACACGCGCCATCGCATACCACAAAGCCCAATAGAAAGTAAGCAGAGTTAACCGGATTGGTGAGACGGACAGCAACAGTTCCACATGAGACCCAATTTATACTACAGTCATTCAGTAGATGGATACTACTCGAGCTCATGAACGGAAGCTTAGACAGCTGGATTCGATCTCTGGCTTGTTGGCTGCTGTTGTTTAGGCCCAGTTATCCAAACTCTCCCGCTCTTCTAAATTTGTACGAGGTGAGAATAAAAAAATGCAGTTTATAGAATAAAGCCTCACGTAACAATTGAAACAGAAAAATTCAGAGGAAAGTATTTGGAATGAGTACAACGGCCAAATAATACATATTTACATAGAGGGAACACTGACAAAATTTTAGTCTGAAGGTTGCTTCGAACGTCTTCGGGATCCACCGGCACAATCTTTCTCACGACATTCTATCACATAACGCTGTGGAATCCGAATGGCAGGAGCATAACCCTCCGGATAAGAAGAGTCCTCAAAGTAGAGGGAGTATTCGTCATGCACCTAGTTAGAAAAGCGTTAAATATGAACTGAGGTGTTATTACAGAGGGAGAATCTCAAAGTAATTATGTAAAACGATTTCACTAGTTATATAGACCCACTGTGAAGGGAGCAGAGGTGAGCATATTACACCAAACTGAAACTATTCATCTACAATGTCCATAAAGAACTCAAATGGTGATTCCACGATACGAACAATACCAACTAAATGGAATTACGAATGGTCCGAGATTATCCAAGTTATTCGATCACTAGTTTGAAGTAGAATGGCTGCATCAGAGTTCGTAACAGGGTGTCCCCAAAATACTAGGTGGGGGACTCAACATAAACGATATAAGACATCTACCAAAAGTAACACGTAAAAAAATAATCCATATATATATATATATATATATATGGTGGATATAAGTTCGAAAACCCTCGAGTCGATTGGCCCACACTAATCAGTGGCTTTCACTCGCAAGGGTTCGGTTATAAACAGTGTACCATCTGGTCAAGATATGGCATTATTTAAACCCGTTTCTTGTTGCTGCAGTGGAGAAGGTGGAAGTAGTCGCAACCGCATAACGGGAGTGAAATAAGCAGCCACCTTATAAAGTGTATACAGAAGGTAGAGTTGATCTGGACAGTATAACACGTGTACCACGAGGCATTTTCCACTGAATTGCATTCACTGGGATAAAAGAGACGAGACGCCGATAACAAGGTCCTTACCAAATGCAAATCAGTGGACGTGAACCTAAATGTATGACAGTGCCTGGGAAAACACTTCACTCTATTAGAACACGACTAGTAGTGAGTAGCAGCCGCCAAGACCAGAAGTAGCACACAGTACAATTTAGACGAAAGCTCCCTCGACCACATGGAAAGTGTAAGATCAGGGCGGGTTAGGCTTTTAGGAGACAGGTGGTAATTAGTTCTATGAACAAATGGATTAATAAAGTCATGGATTAAATAGAACGTATGATCAACAGTAGCACGATCGGTAGGAGCAGAAAAGGGGACACTGAGGCAGCAAGGCGCTCTGGGAACAATAACAAGTACGCAACTATTTACAAATGTACTGATACGACAGTATACAAGAATGACGGCGCGAGGGGCAGTCAATACTTTCGAAGCAAAAGGAAACGGAAGCTATCTGAAAAAAGTGGGAATTGGGTAAGTTTGGTACAAAATGAGGCGACCGACACAACCAAGGTATGTTACTGGGTCGTCGGGCTTACTAATCACATCGATCAAGGGCGAACAGGTTTTCCTGTTCGGACGTGAAAATTCAGAAACATCTAGCGTGCGCTACTGGAGTAGTGGTAACACACTCGCCTCCCATAACATATATGCGGAGTTCAAACCCCAACAGGGCCAAGGTTATGCACTGCTGATGAACTTTAATAAGAGCGAAACTCCAGTCCAGTCGTTCCCTTCCACCTTTGGTGTGAACTCACCAGAACGATTACGCCAGGAAAGAAGGACGATTGTTCGAACGAGAGCGATGTGAGCGTGCATCCTACAAATCCCACAACCACCCAAAACTAATACAAACCAAATATACCTGTAGCTTTCGGCTGAGAGCTTGACAAAGCAGCATGTGCTACGAGCCAAAATTGAAATATGTGCTCAGGCTCGTTTGAAACAAAGTCCTAAGTTACAACACAGAGGAAATGCAAAAAGAGGACTTCCGATTAGATCGAGCTGGTGCACGCTTGTCCGCCATCCAAAGGGTCAGAGTTCGACCCCGGGAGATCCTATCAGAGCGGACGCCGAAAGTATGTACGGCTGACAGGAAATTTAAAAAGCGAAAACATTATCTCCCGAGTGGGGGAGAAGAAAGTGGGAGACAAGCAACAGGGAACCAAAGGGCGTCATGGCAGACAGGTTATAAGCCATATTATCCAAACAAAAGGGAGAAGTAACCACTAATTGCCGTTGATCCATAGGAGGAATGAATAGAAAGATAAAGACCTATTTAAGAAGAACACACTTTCGCAGAAACCAAAGTAGGAAAGACAAGGTTCTAAAAGTAGTTGGTGTCAGTAAGCAGACAGATTTATCTCCCAAGGGGAGATTTGACGTGGACACAGATGAAAAGTTCCCACCTCAAAAGAAAGTCAGCGAATCGCAATTGACCGAAAGTGTTGGACAAATATTAGAGACACTTCAGCCACTTTGGCGCTTGTCACTCACATAATCCCCCCGAAATTACAGAGTGCCGACAAGTGGGTGCTTCGTTAGTAAGAAGACCAATGAAATTTGCAAAACAAGGGATGATTCAGAGCGAATACCAGTCGACTTTAGCAAATAACTGTTCCGTTGCTGGCCGAGAAACGTCCAGATTCTTCGTAGTCAACCCTAAGCTGAGCAGCAGAGCGATAAGGCAACGGCGAGGCCCACATGTGTATAAAACTGCTACTACTACAAGAACGCAAAAGTAGCACCATTGTGAGTGAAAATATGTCATTGGCAGCTGGAGAGCAAATAGAATCTCCATTTACGGCACCATCGTTCGAACAGTCCTCCTCCTGCCTAATGCATTAGTTCTACTTCCTCTTCCTCTCTTCGGTGTGCCCTCATCAGAATGACTGGAGACTGTCTTGACAGTACGGTGTAGTCCACAACAGAAAACAAAACAGCAATCATGAGATCCTGATACGATGTTAATACAATAGCACCTGCGCATTGGTAAATTCATTTGCGAAAAAGAGTTGAATGAGGAAGATCATGCTGACGATGCGAACCAGGATTAAAAAATCAACTTTCAGGTAATATTATTCAAGTGACTGAGAGAATTTCAAGATCAAACAGTATCAGTGAAAAACAAACTTGCTGTCACAAATCAAAGTGACTAGAATCACTGATAATAAACTCCCCGGGAAGTGAATTGGTGTTGCCTAACGTAATGCCGTATGTTGAGAACCTTCCAGGGGCTCAAATAGACGGCAGCAAAACGTCCCGGTTTCTTCTATAAGATACCAGCATACACAGCTACCAACCCAAAAGTTATGGTGACACCCACTAATTTTTCTTCCAGATACACCCAAATAGTTGCTTTCTGAAACATTGAACGTGCTCTGTGGATATTATTATAAGCAAGTTGAGTAATCTATGGCACTCATTTGTATGCCATCCAGCGGATACTGGTAAAAGTCACACGTTCTACAGCGCTCACTATCAACTAGTTTCGCTGAATGCGGCGATTTGTGAATGGGGAAGTTAAAAGGAATCCCACCACTGACCGATATTATCTGTTGCAGTTGGCTCCACCAATGCCATACGTTGAGCGCTCGGTTCGACTTTTAAACTGAGCACGAATTTCATGGTGAAATCCCCAAAAGTAGATTCAGACGACCAAATCAGGTGATACGTGAACACGCTATCATCTGGCTAGGTACGGTCTTCCATCTTCCAAAAGTTTGTCACTCCAAGGCTACGATTTGCAATGCCACTCCCTAAAGCATGGGCATGACAGAAGCGCAGGATTCCATGTTATCTGCCAAGGAAAGCTCGATTTCTCACCTTGATGGTAATGTTGACTCTGCCAATCCATACTTAACCTTTTGGACTCTCTAACCGTCCGCCTCCCGAGGAAAACTAAATATACATGTGTTTTTGACCTTGTTTTGGACGCTAACACACGTAGTGCACCTTTGTTGGTTGTTTTGACGGGAACGCTAGCTTGGAGGGTTCAGACCGAGAAGTAAACTGAGAAAACACCTTTATTACACAGTCTATGGTCACCTCGTTGCCAGTTCGATACCAGCGTACAAAGGCTAGACTTTCAACATATCGGTGACCACAGATCCGAATACTTTTTACTACGGGAAGTCAAGAAGCCACATAGCGTGACCAGCTCTTTTAAAAACTGCATTCGATTGTTCGTGATTACTTCATCCACTTATCAGCCGTGTGATAGATCTCGTCTATCATCCAAATTTTCTGGTTCACATACATTAATTACTAAGACAGATAACATTCTTGTGTTCATAAGGCACCAAGTTGGCTGAATGCGGACGATGTATATGTGATTCAGTTCGGTAAATCCTTGAGGTGCTGGCACATTGCCGCACCACTACAGACTCCGCCAACCAGCAGAATAAGTGTTCCTCAGTCATAGATATCCACACAAAACCGTCTCCTCATCTTGACTGTGAGTGAGTACATTCAATCATCTATCCGGAAGGAATTGCGATACAGTCTTTGTAGATTATTGGGGATATTAAAGGGGGGAAGGAACTGTAATCCACGTTGCCGACTTGAAATAAAACAACCCACAGTGATTCACTTGGAAGCTGATGAGTTCAACGGATAGAAGCTCCACAATCAACAGAAAGCTAGGGTTTCAGGACCCATTGTATCAGAAACATAGATTATGCTACTGGGAACTATCAAGCTGTGTGTGCAGCGACCTGAATCACGGCAAACGAAGATAAGGGTGAGCAAATATTTAGATAAGAAAATCAACGGCTTACCTGTAATGGAACTTCATCAACAACCGCCTTATAGAAACAGGTCGTTTGTGGATACAAGGCAAAAACGGTCTAAACAGAGAACAAGTTGAAGAAAAGAAAAGCTGAAAAATAACCCTGTATTAATAATGTTGCAGGGTCACTTATTTTCAATCCTTAGCTGGTGCGAAAAGGAAACATGAATACGTTCCCCGTTCGACTCAAACGAGCCAGTGCTTTTAAGTGTGCTTCAAGTGAATAAGTAGTGCTAAGGCAGATTACGGATTCTTCGACCTGACATTCAAGACATTAGAATTTCGCATTGTGAGAAATGGGCGTGGAGTGATCAAAATTTGAAAGCTGATAACTCTCGATGTCGCCTTACTCGTAAAAAATCAAGTAAGCGTAGTCCCTGGATCTAAGCCTGGCAACTAGACAGCGAACGACAAAGCACTCACAGTGAATAGGGCTTAGTTGCCCATGTACGACATTCGAGATATCGCAGTATGTTATTTCCTTGACTACTCACACAATTGCTGAAAGCATGAGAAGGCGTTTGTGCAGCAAACTCGGTTGACGAATATCACGAAAGTAACATTCACGTGGAAATCAGTTGGGCAACGCGCTAGGACCAAACAAAATTCACAAATGATTGTAATTGGCGAATTGGGTTCAAGTAGAACATACGGTTGAGGAGAATGCGCATACCTGATGACCTTTAGAGCGAAACCGGTCGTGGGCTGTTTAAGAGATTTCAGTAACCTAATGAGAATGGCGTTCTACAATGCTACTCCCTTCATAAGTTTTAATTGGGGTTAAATTAGCGTGACCAATCTCCGGGATAGAACTAAAACTGCTGCCTTCCCAACGTGCATCGGTTTCATTGACGCCTTTTCGGTGAGCAATCGAACCAACAATACCAACATCCCATTTCCGGGCATATAACCCAAGAAAATGATCATACGGTTAGTCGTTTTCATTTCGAGATTGCAATACGATTACAAGGGAGCCTAACCTAACTAGCTAGTAGCAAACCCGGAAGATTCGCCTACCACATACACTTCACTGATACCAGTTTCCGGGCTCGTCTGTCACATTAGACTATGCCAATAGCTATATAGCTGCCACATGAAGTTTGCGCTGAGCTACGTGTGCAACCAACTGAACGCTTTGTATCGAGTGTGAAACAAAGGAAACAAGACCGAAGGGACAGCTCTAAAACAGCGGGCATACCCATATTTGTCAGGTGATGTAAGGACAACTGGGCAGTTGAAATCCAGGAAATGTGATGGATGGCTTAGAGGTCTACATCACTTAAACTTAAACGCTGCATCCAAAGCACACATACGGCTAGCTATTGCTAGTCAATAATCAGTTTGATATGTGCAGTGGTGGTCACAGAACATCAGTCCAAGCGCAGTGTAAACGCTCTTGTTTCTTCTGGTCTTACCAACTGTTGCGAGTGGACGAAAAAACAGTTTCACAGTGACAACAACCTCAAAACACATTAGGTTCGCATATACCGGGTCCATCCAAGGATAAGATACTGAGAATCCCTGGCTTGTCTATTTTCTAGCCTGTCCTTACTTTGCAAGAATTTTATTTTTACTGAGATGATGAGAACGAGCTGACTAGCAGCATTTTGGTGCAAGTGGAGTGTTGTGGACCACATTCCATTAAATGCCTTCTTATTACCGTGAACCCCGGTCTGGATGGTCGTCTGATCGCCTGGTGCGCTTGATCAAACCAGAAAAGTCAACGAGCGTGCAAGCCAGCTGCTCTGTTGATCACTGTCACGTACAAGCGGTCAAAAGTGATACTAAGAATACAACGCATCTGTCAAGAACAACCAATGAAATCTGTCTCAACAAAAAACGGTTATTCCATTGATAGTTATGAAGTCCCGTTACGTTCGGAGCTGGTTCTATTAATATCGAGGTGGAATCCAGTGCAAGGCTAGGAAAAGTCTTTCCATATCATGCCGTAGCCCACAGTTCATTATTAGTGAATGAGAACTGGATGGAGCAAGATGCAGGTTGACTGCCTCTAATAACTAATTCGAACAGTAGTCTAGCTTCTACATGCCCGAACTGGTATGAGGGAGCACCAAACCAAGTGCGTACACTGACGCGTTCCATATGAATAAGCGCTTGTAGCCATGAAACTCCGGAGAGCTACATGATATCTGAATGTGAACTCAAACGACCGGGATCTCACTTTTTTGTCTGCTCACAGCGACAAAGAACAAACCAGTGGCATCGAAAACTTTGGCCAGTTGGCCTAAAACTAAGCAGTCAGATCAGCATGGGCGACTACGGAAACCACTAAAGGGACAGCGTGCAATTTAGCGATCAAACCTCCGAGCAACTGAGTGCTCCACGGCGGTAACCTGACCAGACAGCGTATTTCCTCAAATGGAGCGTTTTCGTTAATATGCTTACAGAAGATGACGCGCACGCTTTATGGGATACATGAGCGTTAAAAAGGATCCTGAGGAATTTCAAACGTTAACGTAGGAGTGATGAAGACCGAAGTGCATGTCTCTTACGCGAGTTCATCTAAAATGACTAAGAATCAATTTATGCATCAATGTACAATAACGTCTCCTGTTGAAAACTCGTGTTAAGTCCTTTCCTACTCATCAAAAGGCAATGGTCTTTGTAAATCAGTGATCTCTGTTTAGACGTCGTGTTCGTTTCATTGTCGGGAAATAAAAGTATCTACGATGTAACATGAGCAAGCTGCTTTAAGTCCAAACGAACCAGGTACTGTCACAAGGACGCATCTCGTCCATCTAGATAAATGTAGTTTCTCACCAACCTATTGTACACTCTGTAAAAGGATGATTTTCACCCATTTTCAACGAGCTTCGTTCACGGGAAAAAGCGAAGTCTCCGATCGGTTCAACTCCGAAATACACGGGCTATACTAAGGCTGGTGACGGAGCGGATCTACACACCGGATAAATGAAGTGAAAACTGGCTGATCAAGATGTGGTGATGGCCTTGACTCCTGAACTAAATTCACAACACAACAACACTGACTGATGGGAGGTGAACACAGGTGAGACAACGGTAATGTGTTCCAAAAAAGATATCGCTTGGGTATAAGAGTACTTGAAATTTACGTGGGTTTTAACAGCAAAATCCCTATGAAACTGTACAGGTAGGTGAGGTGAAACCCCCCTACCACTAGGCTACATCTATGTAGGTCAAGGCGAAGGCATACGACAGCACAAACCAAAGAGCTGCCATGCAATCAGTCCGGAGAGATCATACTCCGATTCCCCCATGTACCCCGCGAGGACTGGTGGGAGCACACCGTCCGAACTGTGGATCGTCAAATAGCAGACCAACGACGTTATTCGATAACAAGAACACCGTCCGAACTGTGGATCGTCAAATAGCAAAACAACGTTATTCTGATAACAAGATTCTAGACTCCTGAAATGTGCGTTTCATAGTTAAGTCGATGACAAGGTAGAACGGAAACGGAGAGGGGACAGCCTTGTCTTGGAAGCCTTTGACAGTTCACTGAAAACATTTATACGACTAGATGTGTGGAAACAAAGTGTATGGAACATATTGTCATTTGGTCTAGTGTACGTCAGAAACGCGACTTATGTACGGGATCAGAGGTTGCTTTGAAGTCAAATAAAACAGTAATTGTTGGTATGTGACATGTGTGGCGCTGCTTAAACATTCCATGCGACGTAAAGATTCCTAATGGAGATTTCATCTTATAAGTAAAGCCTATCTACGCTGAAAAGCCTAAAGGCACTGTAGAGCTGTTTCATCTCTACCGGAAGTCATTCGCATTATGCAGAAACTACAGGAAGTCTCGAATCCGTAACATTCTGGCCGCTAGTTTGAACGCAACCGTGCGGTCATGAGCAGATGATCAGCATAAAAATTGGCTTGTACTTAAGCAGGATATAGAGCTACTCATCCTTCAATCATAGAACCCACATCACGAATTGACTGGCTCCTTGACTGACGGCTACTGAGATGGAAGTGTCACTTATCGGGCGGATTTTATCCTTCCTATGAGCTACGTATAGCTACTTATATCACCTGACACAAATAGCCCTTTGGCATCTAAATTCGAAAGACATATCGGAACCTCATAAAATGCGTGAGGACCACGGTTTGAGTGGAGCGGGTTGGATGAAAAACCTAGGTATAAAATCCGACGCCCAGTGCCATTGATTCCGTTTTGTGGATAAGTTGAAACAGCTTCTGTGCATCCCTTTTGCCCTGGCCTCTATTCATTGGAAGGCCTGGCTCCAAAACGCCCCTCCACCTACAGAGAAGCGTCGTTTGAGGAAATTTCTAGCAGACCACCTAAGGATACAACTTGTATCAGGAAACGATAGCTCTGAGATCCAGTGATCAGGACACGCGCGCTCGGAAATGCCACACGCTACGTTCCCAGTGTCATGTACAGCCACATCACCACCCAGTTACGAGCAGTTCATTCTGAGGAAGCTCCTTATAAGGTATCGCATAGTTCGTTTTGGTGAGACCGCTTAATTTTTAACTAATCCTTTCAGAGGTTTGGCGACCAATAAATCCAATGATTGTTTACCAAACCGTTCTGCAACGAAATGGAATTTTGCTGCTTGTGCTTATCATGGAGATAGAAGAAATCTACATCAGACGATGGCATGATTTGAATCAACCTCTGTCCTGCAGAATGATCAACAGTCAAGTACTAGAACCACCCTTCAGTAAATGGTCGGTGTGGCTCTACAGTAGTTAAGTACCTGAGGGTACCAGGTAGGAAACGGTGTCCACTGCACCCAAAACCTACTAATTCAGGTGGACAACTGGTGGTCAGTAGAAAGTTCTCCATGATGTTTTTCATTATCGTCACGCCTTGTGTGAAGATGAAATATGCCACAAAGTAGTGTCCAGGAGGATTGAGGCGCCCCATGTATGCACTGAAATCTCTGCATTGTGAATAGGATGGCTGTAAGCGAAATGCATTCGTTTGCATAAGAGTTTGGTTTTCGCGGGAGACTCACCTGGAACGCAGCTGAACCTCCCGTTAATGATAATTTTAAGATGGTTGTCGATGGTTAGTTGGTGCATAAGCACGAACCATTAGCAGATGAGGGTTATTATTTCCTCCAGTAGGAGTTCTTAAGGAAGTGGACAGGTGAACAGCAATGTTTACAAGTATCCAATGAAGCATGGGAGCCTCAGTTGAGGGCATTAGAGCTATATCAGTACCGGAGTAGTCAGACGTAGCAGTTGAAGAATTATCTAAAGTCACAATCGATAACGTCTGAGTAGTGAAGGTGTCCTATGCTCAGAATTCAGAAAAGGTTTACGATGAAGCAGTAGAAGTGCGTACAAGAGCACCTAATTGGCCAGCCCGCCAAATTCAACAAAAAGTAAAACCAGATCAGACTAACGAGTGGGAAGCGATGTAGGTGAGTGATGGTGTTCACTTTAGCCGTCTTACCGAGTAGGTGAGAGGCACTTACAGCTGGAGTTTAAAGCAGAGTGATTAAACTGAAGGAAAGGGGGGTAATAGGGGATAATGAAGAGACGCGGAAGGCGTCAGCAATCCCATGTTGTCGCTAATTCACCCTGCGGATAAGGCGACCCGGTTGAGGCCCTCATGAGATAGTCAACGTAGCATGGTATTCATTGAAAGTCATTTGCTTACTTACTTAGATGCTTATTTATTTATGTATTTTGAGGGTATTGGTCACCTGAGAAATCGGAAGCTAATGTTTTAGGCGTTGATAAAAGGCGTTGACAATTACCAACTGGCGCTGTCAACTGTTTCCATCCCTTAGTGTTTACAGATAATGAGAGCAATTGCGAGAACCGTATTGGAATACCACAGCGTTCTTGGAATTAAACACTACAACTACTAGGGTCAAATGTGCGCTTGGGCTTGTGAAACTTACCCATGCAGTTCATGCGGTGTCTGATCACTCAGGTCTAAACTTAGACCGTACAGCGGCGAAGCATCAGTGTTGAAGACTGATGTCATGCTGTCGATGATGATGAAACTTAGGCTGACTAATAAGAATGAAGTAACAGAATCAGCGTCACCGAGTAGAAGAAATCAGGCGCTTACTTCCCGGTCAATCTCGTCTACCACAAGGAGCAACCAGGAGATAAGCGAACCAAAATACATACACGTCATTCACACACATTTGTTGTGTACTATTGTGCTTGTTTACGATAGTATGATCTGCAATTATAGCTATCCAAATTGCTCGGTTGTAATCCGATAGAGATACAATCGACTCCACTAAGAGTTGAAATGATTGTAAATCTCAACGACAAGATGAAAAAACTAGAGACAATCCCGAGGATGTCAAGTAAAATCCCCAATGAGACCGCATGATAGAGCACGGAGGCATTTCATGTCACACTGTAATATTGACAGGATGTCTTCATGGAATTTTGCCCGCAGTACTGTTGGGTATTCGACAAACCAACACAATCCACTAGCCGAGTCGAAGTTCAACAGTATAATTCTAAACTGCCTAAACATGTACGAGTGAAAATGAGACATAATAACATCAATAGGATTGTAGTTAACAGAACAGAGGAGAGATTACCATAAAATACATAACATTCACTCACCGTGCCTTTAGGGAATATGGCCTCCGGGTTTGTCACTGGATTGGCCTTCCATTTTGGGAGGGGAATTACTTTGGATCGAGGAAGTGTATAGCGCCTATGACACCCACACCAAAGCGAACAAAAGTTAGGACATTAGGGGTGCATACAAACATCAATGAAACCAATCAAAATATGGAATTGTGTAGGAGACGTATATAGATGTATGAAAAAACGGGGGTATAGCACCAGCGATGAGCACAAGACATGAGGAATGTTCATGCGTACGGAATCGATGGTTGCGTGTTAACACATGAGGGAACCGTGGACTAACATCACAACACTGTCGGGCCGGATAGGTGGTTGAACCGAACTTGGGAATGAACAAACCGAGCTGAACCATATTTCTCACTCACTTCGGTCTGAAACACATTTAGAGGTAGAAAGAGTACGGTACGAGTGACGGTGACAAAAACGAGGGCCTAGACCCAATAATTATGATATGGGATAAACCTGGCTCTTAGATGGATTTTCCGAAAATCGCAGCCAATGCAGTCAATGATGTGCTATAATAACTGCCGATAACCTGACCCAATCTCTAACGCTGGTTTAATGTTACCACATGTTTCAAGCGTTCACCGTTTGTTGCATTTTCCCATGGGACTTCAAAAATGTCATTAGGAAGTAGCTGACTCCGTATGCTCGGTAGAGCCGTGGGTGAATGGGGAACTTGAAGAAAACCAGTAAATTCGTCGTTTTGGCCCACTGAAATACTTTCAGCAGACCCGTTCCATTTTCCGAAGATATTTTCCTCAACGCCTTCCTGAAGTGGTGCCCTCACTCAACTGAAAGTGCTAAAACGAGTGTCAAATGCTTCGGCTTGGTTGACAGTCTATTGGTCATATAGAGTAGTTGACGAATCCCCTATTCCAATCTAGTAACACCGGAAAAGTTAAACAACTTCGACAGACTGCCACTTTCGAGTGGTCACAATAGCAAGGAAAAATTCCCACATTTTTTCCGCTAACTTGCAGATTGTACTTAAATGTGCGAAGTCATAAAGAATTAGCGGCTAGGTCACCATTTGTACCACATTCCATAAAAGCACCATGAATTTCGAGCAGATACAATTTTTTCTATGCATGCATGGGAAGCGTTGCGGCGGTTATAAACCCAACGGCTGAAGCAAAGGACAAACAAGCTGGAGTTCCTGAAACGATAAAGTACCCCTCTACTTGGTGGAATTTTCGAACCCTTCCCTTTGTATATTGCACGACCAGTACGTACGGTTCCTCTGATTGACTGCGGGTTCAGACAGCCTTTTAGGAAATAAAACGTGTGCAGACCCTAGCTGCCGAAACACAGTACTGGCTGTATCACTCTGGACCTAAAGGCAGACTGCGGTCAAAAGAGTGCCACAGTGGTTATCAGCCCTAGTCGGTTTACACCTCCGAGGATCGTGTTAGTTCTTTTTAAAGCTGGTGCGTACAAACTCACCGTTATCTCAATATGTGCACAGTTGGTCGAAGGTCATGTTTACGACCGTGTCTAGGTGGTTTTCACCAGATGCCAGAAAACGACAAGTCCAAAACCACCGGAAACCCGGGTTCATACACGGGTTTAGTTGATCAAACTAGGTGTCACATTATCGAATTGTATCTTTAGTCAAAGACGTGAGAGGTCAACATCTGGTTCGAGGTGTATGTCTAACGGGCACTCCAAACACCAAAAAGACCTATTAATGCCATACTGAAGCGGTGGGATAACAGCTCCCCCAACCCAACTATATACTGCTTCCATGGAGCTGGACGACTGTAAAGTGCAACAAGTAGGGTAGGCCACACGAGCCCAGCTTAACAAACCAGAAAGTGCCTTAATACTCGATTGCTGGTAAAAATCGAGTATCGTTGGTGATTCGAGACTGTAGTAGCTGGAACAATTGTGTACACGATTTACAGCTGATAAATTGAACTGAATTGGAAGGAAAGGCTTCACGGCACCATTATACTCTCTCCATCAGTTGTGCCGGTCCATGTGGAAAGCGAAACTATTCTTATCCGACTGGAGCACTTAAATGTTGCCGCTGTTCCCCGAGGAAGGCAACAAGATAGTCTGAGAGAACCACCAGGCCTCCACTCACAAGATACGCTGCACAAAACTTTACGGAGCTCAAGTTAAACCGTCCTCTAACAAAACAGCCTTATCGTACCGACCCTAATTACAAAGGGATTTAGTGCCATAAAGGTTGTATTGATAGAACCTCCACTTGTAACAGATACTGGGATATCATTTTAACTTCTGACTTCAACCACACAAGCCTCGACTCAGTGGACTAAGATGCCCCAAACGATCGATCGTCATCCAAGATAATAAGCCTAATTAGGTCGAACGAACTCACTACCGAAGGCCGATTAAGGGTGCACGGAGAGCAGCTAGACGACTTAACACAGCAGGAACGTTCACCATCCCCAATCCCTTCCGACTGGGCCATCAACTGAATAACAGAATAAGACCTTGGGGGTTATAACGAAGTGCGATCGAGAAACAGCCTACTTGATATCGACTACTCCTAGGTAGTAACTTTAAAAGCGTTTGCTCCGCATTCGATCGTAGCAACCACCACGCTACTATGACCAGTCCGAAGATTAATCCCACCATAATGGGTACATTTTCAACTGTTCCAAAGGGCTTAAGAGCGTCGCTGACTCTGAAAGATTATCATCCAAAAGACTGGGGCCACCAGTGGATTTAAACCCTCAATCCATCTAATGGTCGGGCCAAGGATGACGTCAAAAGCCGTCACAACAACAGAAAGGATTTCCTTCGATCGAAGAACGTCTTGTGGCGAAGAAAAGAGCTCAGCCTTGGGATAAGGCTTGGGAGCTGCTGCTCACCTCAGCCCATTTTACGGGTGCAAAACCTCACGCTTAGCAGTCGGTTCGACAGCTTGAAGCTTTTGGCTACTGGGTCATCCATGAAACAAGGTAGCACGATCTGTTGTCTAACTGTGATGTCCTTCGCTGCTACACCCGTATAACGCAACGCTGAGCGTATCTGTAGCCATGGACAGTGCAATGATCCGACCATGTTCCTTTGAACACGGTTCAATCAGGCATCGCTCCGTTTAGAAGTCATGTGTACGAGAAACGTGTGGAAAACAGTTAACGTAAAAACCAAACTTGATACCCGTTGGTAACTTCATGGGTTATGATGATTCACACACCTAAGGAGTGACATCTTCACATATTGCATTTCAAGAACAATTGTGAAGTCATATCTTTGCTGTGACTCCGTACACATTTCGATGAAATGGTGTACAATACAGTGAGCCTCCAACTAGAACAGGTGATTCAGTGACTTAGTCGAACTAATACCACTTCTACGCGAAGGCAACACTTTCAAACCAAAACAAAGCGCAGATATCCAGTGGCTATGCGCTTGGAAGGCAAGTCTGACGTTTCTGATAATCTTCAATCCATATACTTAAGACAGATTGCTGAGTAACTCGCCGAAGGTTTCAGTGCGCACACTGGCCAAGACTAACAGTGAAGAGTTTTTAGCAGATAGACTAAGGTTTTGATGATAGAATTTGAGGATACTATATATGTTGTCCGCGGGCAATTCACCTAGGTATGAACAAATCCGAAAGTTATTCTAATGAGACGCAAAACACTTATAAAGCGCAATCTCAGGTGTGAAAACCCCAACAAAATGGCCACTTTTGACAAGCCGCATCAAAGCGCACTGTGGGGATTCAAACTGTAACTAACCAACAGAAGACTTAAATTCATGCAAGGATGATGATGGGTTCATAAGTGCAAGGGCTCCATATGCTCAACACAAAGAGGTTGACGAGTCTCCGTAGATTGTCTAACTGTTTACGATGGGCTGCTGTGCAGATAAGCAGAAGCATCCAAAACGGATATCTGGTTACCAGGGATCGCACTCCTTTAGCCTTAGAGGTTTACCAATTTTTGCATTCGTTAATTATATTCACCTTATCTTGGCGTCGGACGTAGAGCAAAATGATATTCATGGTGTCTCCATTAATTCAGCAGGTCCACTCGTGTTAGTGATTTCTCGTTCGAGAGGTTGGCTTACATCTGTCCCAGGTAGATAATAGGGCACAGTGAAGCAATGCATCAGCCTCCAAAGAAAGTGCGCAGAAATGCCAGGATTGAGAAAGCCGATAAGATTCGGCCCACGACACGCAGCGTATGCAAAATCACATTCAACTATAACACCACTCACACTTTACCCTCCTCAGCGTCCACATCTTCTACTTGATAAGTTCTTTTTTCAGCGTCGTAACTGACAACTTCGGCCAAAATACAGCCTTCGGATAAATTGCATGCGGCAGTTGCTGCAACATCTGGTTCAGGTACCAAAGCTGCCACCTGATCACCAGCCTGCGCTGTGGTACTTGCAGAAGCGGGAATGGAACCACACAATGGCGGTGCCCTTCAGAGAGGTCGATAAGAGAGGATGTAAAATCCTTACTTCTCTCCAGATTTTCCAACCCACATTGGTATGGACTTTGCATTCTCTTGTAATACGGACATCAAGACCCCTCGACGAAAATTCCGCGGACCCAAAGCCAAACCTGAGAAATGAGTAATACTGTAGATACTTGGGATGAAACATACGCATTTCGTGTTCCACCTGATGGATTTGTGAGACTTTGTTTAAGGCATTCAGCAACGAACTAATAAATGATTAACAAGTAAAGTTAGGACGATACATACGTCTTCTGACGCTGAGCTTCAGCGATGGCTTGAGCGTAGAGGGACTTCAGCTGCGGTTTATTCACTTAAACAATGAACAAAACCAAACACGCAAACCAACCCTTAGAAGAGCGTTGCCTGCGACGCAAAGCATCCAAATTAGAGAGGGTTGTCCTGCCTTCTGAAACTTCTTTCTGTGGTGAAAATGTAATAGTTCAATGAAAACAAACCACTGCTTTTTTGCAAAGTGACAAGAAATCCTTGGTATGTTCGCGCAGTTGCTCTTGTCCGGACGTCAGCGAACTCATAATTTCCTGTGAGGGATATATACGACTGAAAAAATTATCGAAGTAGAGTTAAGAATGGAGGCCTGTTTCGATTATCAGCGCGAGTTACAGATAAAACGTCAACAGATAAGTGTGGAAAATATTTTGGTTTGTAACTAGTCTGTTGACTTCGGCGTGCGGTAAAACTGTCGAAACACCGCTCTCGATGGCCTGTTAACCCTCCTTTTACTTGCTTTTCTTCTCAAAAAATGGTGGTAAGGGTGGTAAGTTCTGACACAACAGTGCGAACAAACGAAAATAGCTCCTGAAAGGTTTTTCGTCCTTTATGACTCAAAACGGGTAAACAATACAAATTGAATTCACGAAACGTAAAAAGAACAGTAAAAAACGAACCCACAGCTGCATAATTGGGTTCTGATTACCAGTGACATGATCTGAGGGCTTTACCACTTGTGACACTGATGAGCGTTGGCAAGACGGGACCGCATTTGTTAAGAGGCGGGGTGCTCCACTGCAGACCTAATCAGTCAATCAATCAATTCAATTTCTCAGCTACAAACCGTGTGCCATAGTCACATAGGTTCAAGCTGCTACAGTTTCGATCACCGGAAAACGGAAAAGTGGAATATACAACCAAGCCTTGCAGGCAAAGACATGTTCAGTTTGTTCGGGAATCGGAGAGCTACGCGCTGAAAGCGAAAGCTTTGATGTCCGAGCGCAGCTGACTGCTCGATTGGGCGATTTATGCCAATGTCAATGTCCCGAGTTCCCTATCCAGGGAGGCGGAAGTTGACCTAATGGCTCGAGAGATACAGTTATGGACCACAGAGAGTAACGTAGCCTAGCAGCAGCCACCGCAACCATTGCGGAAGTTCGGTGTTGCATAGGTCACGGTTGGTTGGACGGCACTTCGTAAACTACTCCGAAGACAAGCTCCGACTATTACACTTCTGATCACTATATTAAGTCACCACAGATCATGTTCGCGTATTCGCTGACGTGGAACAGCATCTAGAAAATTAACAGACGATTGCGTTTTTGGCGTGGCATTATGAGAAATGAAGTGTTCGGCTCAGAACTCGGACTGGAGTGGGGATACCCGGAATTTCTGTCTGCTGCTCCAGCAATCGGTGCTTGGTGCCACAGAATCCGCTGTCTGACATGCCAGCTGGTTGGTCGTCTTCGAGATGGATATTTCCTCCGGCGACTGAAAGTTGCGGAGCTGTTTCTTGTCTGCCGATGTTGCGCTCAACTAAGCTTTCTCTCTGCAACGTATGTACGCATTCGGATGCCACCAGTAGAATTTTACCGCCCCACCAGAACGGTAACGGATAGGGTTAAATCTTTGTCTCTGGGACACGATGACGGTGAACTCTAAGCCACGAATTCCATGAAGTGGGAACCCTGTATCGAATTTGAAGTAACTGGGGACGTACAAGCGCCCCACCCTGAACGAAGAAGTGATAGTCACTCCACATGTCGTATTGAACAGCAACACACCAATAGAAGTCCTCACTTTATGCACCACGACATGATCAGTCACATCTAAGGCGACGATATCGAGGAAAGCGATTTTATGGTCACACTCGTGGCACAATACCTGGAAGGCTATCGGAATGAGCTTGCTGAACGACCCGCATAAGAGATCAAGGATACCAGCGGCTGACATGTAAGTTAGTACAAATACCACTTTCAAGGCCTTTCTCTCTTTTCCACCGATGGGTAGGCCGCCGCGACAAACCATACTTCCCACATGTGAGTGCACGCACTTCAAGCTGATTAGTTCGACGAAGTGGTCCAAATCGCTGTGTAGAAGGCCCGAGTCGTCGCAGCTGCGAGTCAACAGTGAGAGGTCGCCGAAGCTTGTAAGACGACGCTACGGACAATTTGTCATAATGAAGCGTTCCCCATGGCTCTAAAAGATAGGCCTCATCTAAAAAAGGTCGGTATCTAGTACAGAATGTTGTTTTCATTTCCTTGGCCTTCGGTGTCCACCGGGCTTCATAGGTAGTGCGAACGCTCACTTTCAATTGATGTCTGACAATTCGTCGTGCCAAATTATATTGAAGACTAGTGGGAATATTTCTCCAAGATGCAAGTAGTGCTATTGTCCTGTCTGATGGCCAGTGCCTGAGGGCATTTAGTAGCGCAGTGCCACAAGTAAAATTAGAAGCAATGTAAAATCGTGGCGATTCGGTTCTTCGGGAGACTATTCTAATAAATTCGTTTAGCTTCGGGATTTGCCACCTCCTCAATTGCCAAACGATTTATTTGCACCTTATGCGAGACAGAAGCGACCCTAAAGAAGTGCGGGGTCGGAAACCACATAATGTAAAACGAGCAAATCAGTTGTTGATCCCCGCCATCATTGACTCATGGCGATGTAATTCATTTGGGTTAGTGATTGGCACGTTGTTGAATGACGCCATGTGGTCATACGACTTCAGTTTTTTTGAAAGTTAGTATTGCACAGCGGTCGTCACATGGACGAAGCACTCGTTCATCATACGCAACACTTCCAGTTCAGGTCGACCACCCAAAGGGGTTTCAGGCCCGCTAAGTCTGCCCACTTGCGTATTCAGATCTCCGGCAACTACAACAGGGCATTCAAGGGGCCATAAAACTTGTCTTTGGTGGCGTCAGAGATATAGTCGATTGGGGAATAAACATACGCGACAGACAGCGGTAAGCTTCCTGCTCGTTACTCTTTCGCGGGCGTTGCAAGACCAACCGCACAGGGGTGACTATCAACGGATATCCAGTCAAGCAAAGATCCTTTCGTCCGGTAACTAAGGACGACACCGATCCGTGCACATTCTGCCGCATTGGCCTCTGGATTACCAGGCGTGCACGGCTGGAGGCGAATGGAAAGTAATGAAGCAGTTGGCTCAGCTATTCTGTTAGAACTTTGAATGCTTGTTTGTGATACACACCATGCATGAATATCAAGCGAGTCCTGTGAGAGCAAGAGCAGCTTGTTGTGCTTCTTGCCTTAGAGTGCGAACATTAAAGAAGATTTAGGCTTGAAGACTGATTTCGAGGTGCCTAAGGTTGTTGGTGCCTGCTAACGAGCAGTTGTTGCATCCCAAACCAACCATGAACATACACATTTTGATTTTGACTGTGCTATAAAAACTGACTCCACTCCCGATTAACCCTGAGAAGATAGTCGGCTGCTCACCACTCAGTGTGAGCAGGCAGGACAGCATTTGTCACTCCCTGATATGAAATTCCTCCAATACTTCCTAACGCACAGGAAGTTATGCGCTATTCAGTGCAATATTTATGTTGAGCACGGGGCGTTGGACACGCACATTAGTGCGGTATAGTGCAGTTTTTGAGTGCGTGGTAGCTACGGGGAACTCTGGAGATTCTAGACAGACACCAGTATCCATTATCCCCCGCCGTCCATAAGCGATGTAAAAGCTATATGCGTCCAGTGCATCTGGTTTGTTGGACGACGGGCGGTTAGCTTCTTCAGCGTCACACCGAATTCTCAGTGGTGGAAAATATACAACCGACAGCCAATCGTTCTCCAGTGTTCAGTGCGCGCCAGCTTCCATTTCCGATCCAAACGCAGCAAAAGAGGGCCGCAGAGTATTGACACACCCAAATTGAGTTCGCCGAAACTATAGGGTTTGCGAAATTGCTATTTTGATAGGAAGTTAGTTTAATCAACTTGCACCTTCCCGCGACATGATGCACGTGCCGTGGGCTAGATGCACACCCCAAATAACTCGGAAACCGTGGTTCGAAGGTGGAAATCTTTAGCATAAGCTTTTAACATTTGATGGTAATTTTTGGGGCATGTGATGTCTTCCCAAACAGCCGCAATTTTGTTGAAAGTTGTTTAAATCTACACAATCCACACGATATTCAATACCCGCGATATTCATATTTTATTGGCTGCTTTGGCTGAGTACGTGAATGCGGAGGATGCTTTTGTGGAGAATTTAGCTCGTCAAAGTTTTTTCTCATTCAATGCATTTCAAGTCTCTTTAAAAGAGTACCAGACGAAACATTTCGTTGTTTTCCTCCGTATAAACTCCAAAAAGAGCAGCAATTTGCAGCTTTTGTATGAGAATCCTTCCACCATTGCAGCAGACACCACTGCAGACGGAGCCGAAGCCGTGGAATTCGTCGCACATTGTAAGTTCATGGTTGATTGTGTGTACGTTGTAGCACACGTCGTGCTGATTGTCGGGCAAGGTTGCACATTCGCCGGTACCATGACTGCTTGGGGGTTACTTCCTACTACCTGGAGCACAACCATCCACGCAGCAAGTTTATTTTTGACAGGCTCCCCATTAACCGGCGACTGACAAATGATGAATTAAAGGAGTGTTCTACCATTTTGAAATACGGTGCTTCGTCATCGGAGATTCGGCAGTACGTCGCCGACCACTTTGGAAAGGTACTCACTATCAGGGATGTGCGTAACTATCGCGTCAAATGTCGACCCCCATTTTTAAGTAGGTCGTTGGTTAACTTTTATTCGGTTTCTTAGATGACATGTCGACCATCATAGCCAAGTTCCGAGAGCGCGGTCGCGTGCTGCTGGTGGAATCGTAGGGTGGCAGATTTAGTCACCTGTCCTTTTCTCGAACGCACCAGGTAGCACTCTTTAGACGTTTCCCGGACGTTGTAAACGTTGATGCTACACACGGTACTAGCCGTCTTGGGTAAATAA